GAATGCCAGGGACGCTGATGAGGTAATCTAAAGTTTCAGGTGTCTTTGGGAGCTATGGATGAGAAAGTACAGGGAGTATACCGGACAGGAAGGGAGATGACAGAGGTATGGATCTTTGGAGTCTGGCAGGAGGAAGAGTTCTTGGGCCACCCAAGGACAGAACTCCTTGGGCTGGGCAAGGCACCCCTCTCCCTCTGTCTTGATGAGAGAATGCTCTGCAACAAGGGAAAGCTTTCTCACAAGACAGGAACTTACTAAGGAATTGGGAGGCTTCCAGAGACATGATCTGAGGTCTGGGACCTGAGCAGCTCAGCACTCTCTCACCCAGCTTTGTGTAGCTGCACCAGGGAGAAAGATAAGGGTCATGCTGGGGCCCACTCATGAATAACTGCTAGGCACAGTGTCCTTGGGCTGGGGCGTGGTTGTCAGAGACAGTGTTTCTGAGACTAGAGAGAAATTGGAGTCCAAGTACAAGCACAAGCACCCCATCACTCCCACCCTCTAAGTGCCACCTTTTATAACAAAGATGGAAGAAGGGGGAGATTTCCAGCTGAGAACTACCCAACACATCATTTCAGTTTGACAGTCCACTAGTCCCCTACCTTTGTAATATATTTGTAACAGTGTTAGAACCATAAAAGTTGCTTAATTTGGAAATGTTCGTTTGAAATAACTTCGCACTTCAAAAAAAACCAACAAATTACTTCCTAGGAAATGCCCTTTATAATGCTAGAAAATTTTTAATAGAAATAATATGCACACAGTGGCATTTTATTCCTTCTAAGAAGACAAAGATCTTTATTTTTGCCATCAGCCTATATAAAAACCCCTTTCCTCTTCTAAATTTCATGCAAATCCAAATTCAACCTTGTTCCTTCAGTCCCTCTCTCCTTTGCCTTCTTCCTCCTATGTCCTCTGGAACAGCCTCTCCTCCCTAATTGTTAACAAAATCTCCTTTATCTTATAAGTCTAATTAACATACTGTCCATTTTAGGCTAATAGAAACCCGAGACATTTCATTTCTTACCCTTACTTACTGCTCTTTCCAGGCCTATCATTTGTCACCTTCCTCTATGTCACCTCTCCTCCTTATCACTAAAATCTACTGACCTCCTTGCCTTCCTTTTTTAAGGAGTTTAGTATCTGACTCAGTTTTTCTTCTCCACTAATCTTTTCCTTGTTTATATAGGTTTATATATTAACATTGTTTCTAGTCACTGCATTGATAAGAGTTATTAAGTCGAAGGACCTCAACCCATCAGTTTATCAACCTTTCCAGCTCTTGTGATTTATATTTCCAGCCTACCTCTGCTACTCATAAGGGTGCTCATGTTCTTTAGACTATACCATCACATCTAATTTTTAAAGTTTATCTTACTGATAAATTTCAATTTAATGCAGATGACAAACATAAATTTAGAAAGTGCATTCCTCGAAAACAAGGAAAATAACACTAAAGAATAACTGTAATGTTAGGTACCTACAGTGTGTGTGTACTGTGTACTAAGTCCTGGGGATCCAAATACAAATAAAGACAAAAACAGTCTTTGCCTTCAAGGAGCTACCACACACATACAAATTCAGCAAAACCTGATTAATGATGGTCCTCCATCCATGGAATGCTTTTTGTCTCACTACCACCACCTCTGCCTCCTGGCTTCCTTCAGGATTTGGCTTATATCCCACTTGCTGTAAGAGGCATTTCCTGGTATGCTGCACTTCTTCCCCTGCCCAGTGCCTTTCCTTTGAGATTATCTTCCATGTACATAGTTGTTTATGTGTTTTTTCAGCTGCAGAGAGTGTGAGTTCCCCAATTGCTGGGCACTTAGCTTTTGTTTTGTTTTTTGTTTCTACCTCCTCTTCCACTGGGAAAAAAAGAAAAACAGAACCATTATAACAAATATACACAGTCAAGCAGAACTAATTCCTACATAGGCCATGTCCAAAAAAGTATGTCTCAGGCAGCCCTCCGAGTCCATAACCTGATAGAAGGTGAGTAGCATTTTTTCTGGTCACTGCATTGATAAGAGTTCTTAAATCTTTGAATTGTTTACCTTTCTAGCTATATTTCTCTGAAACCATCCCCCAAACCATTTTTTTAGGACACAGAAGTATTCATGCACTCTAACTTGTTTAGCCATTCCTTCAATTGATGGGCATCTGCTTAATTTCCAAGGTTTGGGTACCATAAAATAGCTGCTGTAAATATTTTTTTGTAAGTATATGTGGGTCCTTTTCCTATTTAATCTCTTTGGGATATATACCTAGACCCAATATCCCTGGGTCAGAGGTTATGTAACAGTTTAATAACTTTTGGAGCATAATTCCAAATTGCTTTCCACAATGTTTGGGCCAGTTCACAAGTCCACCAGTAGTGCATTAATGTGGACATCCACTTTGTTTACAAGTGGTGCAATTTAAAAGTTCCTCCCTTTGGAGGTGTGTGCTTAATAGTGGGTTGTATTATTGGATCAGAGGAGATACATATTTTAGTGACTTTAGTAGGTGTATTTAGTCCCCTCCTCTAGTTGCCATTTTCCTTTTTCATCATCTTTGCCTACCCAGTGAGTATTGATGTATGTCCTCAGAGTTTAGTTTACAATTGTCTTATTAGTGGTTTGGAGCATTTTTTCATATGGCGTTGATATCTTGGATTTCTACCTGAGAGCTGAACTCCTGCTCCTATCCTTTGACCGTTTACCTATTGGGGAATGAATTTTGAATTTTGATCTTATTTATTTTGATCAATTCCCTACATATTTCCAGTGTGAGACCTTTATCAGTGAAATTTGCTACAGATCCCCAGGCCTTCTCTGTTAACTGTTCCCTTCTAATCCTAACTGTAATGCTTTTGTTTGTGCAAAAACTTTGCAATTATACGTAAGCCAAATCGTCCATTTTGTTAACTGTGGTCCTTTCTATCTTTTAGGCAAGAACTCTTCCCCTATCCATTGTTACAAAAGGTATCCCTTCTGTTCTCCCCTAATTTGTTTATAAAACTTTTCATAAGGTCATGTATCTATTTTGAGCTTATTGTTGTATGTGTTGATCTAAACCTAATTTCTCCCAGTTCCAGTTTCCCAGATTTGGGTGATGGATTGGGCTTATGCCAGGAAGCTGCCTCTGTTGACATAACCACAGGTTTTTATTATTAATATGGTCCATTTTATGTATAATTTTTCTATTACTGAACCAACCTTACCTTGGTATTATAAATCCAACTAGTTGCCTAAAATTGTAACACTTCCGTGAACCTAACCTCTGGAATTTTCCTTTTTGATTTCATTTCCTATCATGTCTCCTGACAAGTCTTCCAAATCTTAAACTTTTATTTTTGATCCACACTGTGATTATACTCCATTTTTCCCTTCTTCCACTCCGTTACTCTGGCCTCTTTCTTCCTGTAGTCTTAGCCCTATAACTGACCAGTTCAACTATGAACTATCTGCTGCTCTGGAGGAGGTTGTGCAGGCATGCCAGTGAGTCCATTACAGATTCATGTTATCTGATTTCAACTGGGCTCTCACTAGTGAGTGGTGATTTTATTCTTCCCTGACTGAATGTCATGGATTTTTTTTGCATTCTACATCCACTTCTCTTTCACATAAAAACATGTGTATTGTGCATTTCAGACTGGATGTCCTGCAAGTATCTCTAACTCAGCATTTCCAAAATAGAACTCGCCACCTTTTCCCCCAAAACCCACCAAGGGTGCCATCTTCCTTGATTTCATCACTTTCCCTCCCCCAACATAGTCAGTTGCCAAATCTTGTCATTTCTACTTCCACAGCATCTATTATACCTTTCACCTTCCCCTTGCCTCACAGTCTCCACCTGAGTTCAGGACTTCATCATCTCTCACTTCTTTGAGTAGTTTCTCTTTCTCAGTTCTCTTCCTCTGCAGTCCGTTTTCCACACAGCTGATGAAGTAACTTTGCACAGCTCTAACCATGACACTTCTGTAATCATTAAGCTTCAGAGCTTTCTTCTTCAACCTAGGATCAAATATTTAATGTTATTTCATCTTCTTAAAAGTTTGATAATATACATAACGGACTTTATGTACGTGATTTATAAATCAGTAAATATGCATATGTTGGAGGTATGTGATCAAAGTAGTTTGGAGGTTGCTGGCGTGTTAATCATTTGGAATATGCTACTGTGTGTACATGCATCCATTCACATACACATGTATATTTAATTTGTTTTATTTCCCTAGTTAGATTGTAAGCCACTAAATGGCAGGGACCCTGTATTTTTAATCCCAGCACTATACCTTAGCTATACTTATTTGTTGTTTACTGTACCCTTCTAAATTACTATTAAACTTTTGAAAGATCTGTGATTTATTCTATATAGTATACTCTTTAAATAGATATAAAACATTGCCTTTCCATCACCTCATTAGGTGGTTTTATGATGTTGTAGCAAAAAATATTTTTTGGTGACAGCCATTATTGTGCCAAGCCTGTGACTTAGTGATACATAGATTCACTATACTCCTCTGTCAGTAAACATTTGTTAAGCACCTACTATGCACCAAACACTGGTGATACAAAAAGAGCCAAAAGAGATAGTCCACATCCTCAAGGAGCTCACAGTCTACTGGGGGAGACAACAGGCTCTATGTTGGACAAATAAGAAATGAGAGAGGGAAGGCACTAGAATTCAGAGGGGTTGGGAAAGGCATCCTGTAGATGATTTTGATTCTGTAAACTTTACTTTCTTAAACTTTCTTAAACTTTTACTTTCTTGATTCTGAGACTAGTGTTCAGTCTTCATACCATACTTGCCTCTCTGGTAGATGGACTTCATTATTGTAAACCATATAGGATGTTATTTATGGATCGGTTGTACTCAGTAATAGTGTAGTGTTTTTAATCCATTATTTTAAATTATGTTTTAATTCTAGTCCATTATTTAAGATATGCTCTGATAGTTATTTTAAGGCTGGGTAGAGAATAAACTCTTTCCTTTATCCTATCTCAATTTTTATGTAGGTAGCTGCCATTTTTTCTTTTGCCACTTGTGGAGGTTTTAAGGGCAAGACAAGTTTCAAAGCTTCCTGCCCAGGTCAGACTAAAAATGAGACAATTGAAGCTGCCTTTGCCTATCCATTCAGGTAAGTGTATTTATCCATCCTCTCTTTTCCCCTCCTGTTTTTCTTTAATATTTTGCTCTGTGCATGTGTCTATGTTGTCACAATAAGATTTTCAATTGCAAATTTGCTTCATTTTTGTGTTTATATGGTGTCTGGTACATAGGAGTTCCTTAATAATGCTTGTTAATTGCTTTAAGAATCAACAGTAATATTCTGAGTACCTTGTTTGTTACACTGTGCCTCATTTTAAGCAAACAATGTATGAAAATGAAATATTTCCAAAAGGATAAATTACAGAACTGATTGTTATTGGTATGCAATAAGCTATACTTCTTTCCTTAGTGTATCTTTCAAAAACAAGATCAGCAAAAATTCAGTTCACAGAGTTAGGAATCTATTTCTGTCAAATGAAATATATATATGTATATATGTGTGTGTGTGAGTGTGTATATATATATATATATAATTTATCCTGTTGGAATAGAACTTTATATCTCAAACAAAACTTGATTCATGTGAACTTGATAATGGGCTCATATCAGGTGTGCTGCTAAATGTTTAACAGCTCTTGGGGGATCCACAACACTAAAGTCTAGACAATCAGCAAGACAAAAGCCTGTGTGTCAAAGTAGCATTCGTGTGTGTGACAGTATTCAATTCTAGTTAATAACTAATAGTTTTTACTAACCAAATTATTTTATTTCAGTATGTCACATATAAAAAATTTATTAATTTTAAAACTGTTGAATAGAGAAAGGCATAGAAAGGTGTAGAAAGAATAACAGTCTAGGAACTAAGAGAGCTGAATTTTAGTCCCACCTTTGCCATCAACCATCTTTGGGCAAGTCACACCCTCTCTGAACCTCAATTTCTTCTACATCTGTAAAGTTAATTTCTAAGATACCTTTTAGCTTTATCATTCTTTATAAGCCTGTGATATGAATTTAATTAAACATTGATACATATATCAAGAAAAGGATCTTGGGCCGTTACATAAATGTGTGCCTGCATTTTTTTGTCTTCCATCTTCCTATTAAAATATGTTTAAAGTTCTTTTTTTATCCTCTTTGAACCTAATTACTTTAAAAATTTTTTTTTTAGGTTGAATCAAGTTTCACTTCATGAAACAGCAACACAGGATCCTCCGTGTGATGTAACTTGGAGCAGTTATTTTCTTATAGGAGATTTCTCTTCTTCTGCCCAGTTCTATGTTACATTTGCAGTCTTGGTCTTCCTATACTGCATTGCTGCACTTGTACTTTATATAGGTTATATGAACCTATATCGAGAGAGTCGAAAAATTCCCTTTACTGTAAGTTATATTCACCTTGATGTTATTTTCTTTTTGTAAAAAAGTTAAGAATGTCTGCTAATGTGTTTATCTGACCTGAAATGTAGCCTCTCGTGTTTTGGAATACCTAAGGCTCCAGTTTTGTAAATATCATGGATTCTAGAATCAGAGATTACTCTTAATAATTTGAACAGCTTTCTGTGTAGTAAACATATAATTCAACTCCTAAGTGGAGAGATTTTAGTTCTTTTGTTTATTTTAGATTTTTAAATAAGCTATTGGGTAGAAAATAATAGGCTATTAAGTATACTTTAATTCTAAAGAATGGCTTAAATACCAAGAACTTCAAAACTTAAGTATCTTTCATAGTTCTTTTTTTCCCTTCTATCTCTCACTCTCCCTCCCCCAAAACAAAAATTTTAATAACTTACTTTAAATTTACCTCTAAGACTTTGACAATTTATCTTTGAATTCCCTCCCTCTAACCAGACATTTTTTATTTGTGATATCCATGAGCTAATATTTCTGAGCTTGTGATGCTACAAAAGTATTTGGATTTGACTTATCTTGATTGCGTAACCAAAAAAATAATTCTATAGATCCAGACTAGAGATAGCAAAATCACTGATGATTCATAATAGCAGGCTAGGTAAATCTCTACCATATGTAGAATATCTATAGTTTGCCCTTCATATAATTAGATTTTTAGTATGTCCATAAGACAATTGGCATCAAGTGCTGAAGACCATTGGTCTTGGTATAGTATCCTTCACTGCCACTAAATATCATGGCTCATACAGGAAGAGATAGTCTGCCTGCCCCATAGAGGGGCGGGAAGAACAACTACTACAGAGATTAGTTCTTAGGAAATGTCTACCATAGCATAAGCAAAAGGAGGCTAAAACACGGCAAGAGAAAAAAACCTTAATAAACCCTAACACAAGCAAATAAGGAAAATTTATTAAAGAAATTAAGAATTAATTTATGTCAGGTATAAGAGCTTTTAGCATAGAATTGAAGTACAATATTTGGCTGAAGAAAAAACTTAAGGATCAGGGATCTCCCAGAACAACATGACTTTTTAAAAAACAAAAAAGAATGCCATAATGCAGTAAATAATAAAAGAAAACCATCTAGAACTTAAGAATATATGAAGCAAAGCACATTAGAGAATCCACAAATTGCCACACACCATAAAAAACCCTCTTCATTGAGAGCAAATTTTGCAAATGACTAGGATAAAGACCTTCAGATATCAAGGAAGAGAAATGTGTATAACACGGGATAATTCCACACTCATGAAAAATGGAACAGTGTATTCTGAAAAGCAAAGGGAGGTCAAACTCTGCAAACCATAATATCATACCCTGTAAACCTGAGTCTGCTCATCAGTTGGAATAAATGATATCCGGCTCACAAAAGGAGGGGAAGAAAACGATGTCTGACAAACTCCCAAATCAGTCTTAGTTCCTAAAACAATATTGGTGCTGAGATTTGGGGAGTGGAGAACAGAAAGTGCTTTTGTGATGCCGACCTTATATATTTTTATGATTCTTAGCTATACCCTCTCAAGTCAATCTACCTGTGCCTCTTAAATAACAATGACATTTAATTTAAAAATATTACAAATGAAACATATTAAGCAATATGTAGAGTATTAGTAATGTAGAAGATTCTACTCGATGTAGGCAAATATAACTTCTTAGCTTTTACTGAGACTTGATGAGATGAGATCCGTGTTGTGCCATTTGGAACCTTGACTTTAAGAGTTAGAGAGACAAACTTAGGCTTGATAAAATCATTAGAATGCTATTCAAAAGTGAATGGACTATCTCAGGAAGTTGTGCGTTGGTTGTCCCTCAGTGGAGGTCTTAAAGAAAAGATATGTTTTGTGTGAATATATATCTAGAGGCCTTAGAGGCCAGGTATCATTATATATGGGTTAGACTAAATGTTCTCTGAGACCAACTCTGACATACAGTGATACTTCCAGGAATTCTAAAGTTAAAGAAGGTATTTCAAACATTGCCCTACTTTAAAAAAAAAAAAGATTTTTTTTTTAATTAAAGGATATTGAAATTGCTAAGAAAGAAGCAGTTGGTTAAACAAGCAGTAAAATGTTTTATTTTTATTCTTGCTGCATGGCTGACAAGAAAACAAATGGTAAGTATGGAATATTTTTATCACCTGAAGTTGCTTATTTCCTTAGAAACTTTGCAAAGATTCTGTTACCTTATGTTAAAAAATTCTTCTGTATCTTAAGTAGGACTTAACAGGAAGTTTAAGTACCTATTTGGTAGGAACTGTAAACTAGAATTTTCTGTATAGTCTTTGTAGTGTTTGTAAGCCTGGTTTATAATTATGACCATCCTATTCATGCTTTGAGTAAAATTTCTTGTTGTAAACAAGAATGTTGTAAACAAATGCTTCTCTCATTTTCTTAAGTTAAAAAAATTCTACTGTATGTTAAACTACAAATTAAAAATTATACTGAAAATAATTTAATCTGATTGAGGGGATTTGATCTTATTATGATTAGGGGACTTTTCAAAATCCTGCAGTGCCTAAGGGTCATTGATCTGCAAGTATTTATTGAACACCTACTATATACCACTCACTATACATACTAGGACCTAAGGATATAGTTACAAAAAAATGAAACCATTAACTCCTCACAAGGAGCCTGTTTTAATGGGGGAGACTTCAAGTACAAATGAAAATATTTACAGCATAAGCGTGAACTTTATAAATAGGTAAAAAGTAGTTAAATACAAGGATAGTTGAGAGGAGAACCCTAGCCAGTGGGGGATCATGAAAGGATTCATGTAGAAGATTGTGCTTGGGTAGCATCTTACAGGAAGAGAGGAACTGTGAAGTAGAGGTAAAGAGGGAATATATTCTAAGCATATGTGAGGGCCAGCATAAAGACACGGGATTGTGGGGAGATGAGGAACGTCCTGTGAGGAGCAAGAAAAAAGGCCAGTGTAGCCAGATCAGAGAATGTGAAAGGCAAAGTGATGTTAGCCAATTGTAAAGAAAGGATGGGAGCTAGGTTTAAAGCTAAACAGAGAAGTACATGTTTTACCCAGGAGACAACAGGAAGCACTGGAGTTGATTGAATAAGAGTCATATAGTTGGGTCTGTGCTTAAGGAAAATTACTTGAGCGCTATGTAGGCTGGATTGGAGTGGTGAGAGACTTGAGGCTGCTGTTGTCATATAGGTAAGCGGTGGTCAGGATCTGAACTAAGCTGGTAGTTGTGTTAGAAGTGGTCAAGATGCAAGAAATATTATAAAGTTAGATAACGACAAGATTTAGTTGGCTAAGGAGTGTGAGAGACAGTAAGGAGTTCAGTATAGTGCCAAGTTACAAACTTGGGAGACAGGAATGATGGAGATGCCTTCCGTCACCAGCATTAGGGAAGTTTAGAAGAGGGGGAGGACTTGGGGGAAAGATGAGTTCAGTTTTAGATATACTGAGTTTGAGATGTCTGGTACATTCTAGTTGGAAAGTCCAATAAGCATTTGGTGTGATACAGGACTAAAATTCGGCAGAGAAACTAAGGCTAAATATATAAATATGAGTCATCTGCATAGAGGTATTGGTATCTAATAAGATTACCGAGAAAGATTATCTGAGAAGAGCAGGACACAATCTTAGGGAATACCCACATTTCCAAGGTATGATGTGGTTGATGAGCCACTAAAGGTGATTGAGAAGTAGTGAAAGTATGCAGGAGGCAAGGGTGGTGAATAGTGTCACATATAGCAGATAGTTTGAGAGGGATGAGGACTAAGAAGAGATCATAAGAAATTTTGGAAAAGGAGCTTTGTCTAAGAGAGAGTTTGAGGGAGAATGGTAAGGTCTAATGAAATGCTAGTTAATCAAATTCTGGTTGATAGGTTGTTGAATGAAAGTATAAGAAAACTGTATATACAAACTTCCAGAGGGGTAATAGGTTTGATCAGCTCTCTTCTCTCATACTGTATCTTAAACAAGTCTGAGTATTTTTGCTTAGTGGGATCTTAAAAAATAATGTGTAATTAGAGTTATCTGATGCATTAAGTATATAAGTAATTATTTCTCTTTTAGGACTTCGTTATTACTCTTATTGCTGCTTTCTTATGGTTGGTGAGCACTTCAGCCTGGGCTAAAGCTGTGACCGACATTAAGATGACCACAGGTGAAAATCTTATTGGTCAGATTGACTCATGCAATAATAAAGGTGTACAGTGCTCCTCTGGCTCTGTGACCAATATGGGATCTCTGAATGTATCTGTGGTATGTATACATTTTTTCTAGAGGTATTGTTTTGCTTTTTAGAAATGTCTTACCTGGTAATTAAAGAGAGTATCAGCTTTTTAAGTCTTAATATTTAAGACTTGTTAACTGTTGTTATGTATAATTTTTCCTTTTAAAACTAAACATGTTATTAAAATCTTAAATTAAGATCCTAATGAATTTATAACTTATAATTAAACTGAAATAAGAATTGTCTTAAATATATTAATAACACTGAGGTGGAATAAAATACTTTGCTTAAAAAGAACAAACTTTTTAAAGACTATTATAAAAATATTTGATACTAATTACAAAAGATATGAAGTTGGGAAGGGACCTCAAAGGCCCAATTCAACCCTTATCTTTAAATATTCTGTCCCAATTTAGTCTACTATTATAATTGGAACTGTAAACAAGGAACTTTGTAAAAAAAATAGTTTGACCACATAGTATTATCCAAAATCAAAACATTGGAATGGAGTTTGTTTCTACTCATGAAGATATTCTTTTCAATGGCTGAGTTAAATTTCAAACATAAACTTTCCATGTTTACAGTAACTTAATTTGAGATAGAATAGTAAAATTCACTGTTATTCTGATATTTTTAAATGGCTCTTTGGGAAATGTGTCTTTTTCTTACTACTCTGAAGAACCTTTGTGGTAGTACAGATTAATTTGGCTTCTGATAACATTTCTTGGGAAATTCACTTCTCTTTAGAGTTGGGGAGTAGAGCAGGATTTGAAGATTCCATTCCACATTGCTCCATGTAACTTTGGATCTTAGGGGAGGTGGGAAAGAGAAAAAGAAAAAGGGAGGCAGAATGAAAGGGAAGGAGAAGAGATTTTCTAAAGCAAGATTCGCTTGGAAATGAGAGTGAAATGATAGCTATGAAAAGAAGACTTTGGAGCACAAGACATACTCCTCCATGCAAAATAGTTAGAAATACCTTTTTAGTTGCTTATCTCCTTAAATCATAATATGCTCAACACAGTTTGGGGCATGTGCTTTTTTAATTTTTATGATTTTAGAAATTTTCATTGAGAATTGCAGGGGTCAAATTTTACTGTGAAAGAGAAGTTATACATTAAATTTCTAGTACTTTAGAATTTCATAGGGACATAGATGTGTTCTTCTGAATGTCATGGAAAAACTAGCTTGGATTGTGAGGTGTGGAAGAGATTTTTTTAAGTCCTTTTTTTTTCCCCCCTTCCATAGATCTTTGGTTTTCTGAACATGATACTTTGGGGAGGAAATGCTTGGTTTGTATATAAGGAGACCAGCTTGCACGGTCAGTCAAACGTTTCTACCCATGGCGCAGGAACAGTTGCACCTCCTACAGGAATGTAATTAAAGGAAAGAACTACACTGTGTGAAATTAGAATATATTCTACAACATATTGCCAGCATCTTTAGAGACAATGCAATTTGTTTCCAATAAAAGTAATGGTGTTTGCAATAAATTGATGGATTGAAAATTCTGCTAGTTTTTACATGAAATATGTGTCTTAGATACAAATTTTGGATGTAAATGTTTCAATTTGTAGACTCGAAGATCTAGGGATTTATTATGAGGTTGTATACGTAAAAATAAATGTGCAGTTTCTTCACTAAATTTTTTGCATAGCAAAAGTGTTTACCCCTTAGGCCTTAACACATGTATCTTTATTCAGGAAGTGGATGTATGAGTCTATTTTAAAAAAAGAAGAAACTGCATTTGAGTTACACACTACTGTAAGTTTGTACAGTTCATATGCTTTAAGACCTGTCTTTGTTTAAAAAAGGCTTATTGCATTATAAATATAGCATAGCAAAAAAAAAAAGTGTTTAGTTCAGAACTTAAATCTAAATACGGTTCATATTAAACAAAAATTCCTGAATGCAGAGATAGGTTTTAAAATAAATAACTTTAAATACTTAATAGTTGTACAAAAATTGTTTTGAGAATGGAGATCGGAAATTTCAAGTGTGTATAAATGTTCTTTGATATGGTTAATACAGTAATTCTACAATTCGAGGTGTTTACATTATACTGGTTGGTTTCTTAGACTAAGTGTCCTCTCAATATGATTCACCTAGACACTTTGAAAATTGCAGGTATAGTCTTATTAATATTTGTCCTCTGTTATTCATGCTACTTGGTTTCAGGATGGGATAATCCTACAAGTGTAGAAAAAAATTTAAGTTTTTTCCTTTTTTTTTTTTTAACCCATTCAGAGGAGAGAAGAAATTAAGTTTGTTTTTTACTTTTGAGATGCATTTAAATGTTTAGAGTCAATGAAGTTACTATTGGAAGCTTAGCACTGATATTATGAAAATAAGAAATGAGATCCAAATTTCATTTTTTTTAATGTTCTCATTCTTACTACATAAATGGATGATTTAAAAAATTATGTATGTGTGGTAAACAAAGGAACACAAGTGAGCTAGCTATATAATGGGTGCCTGTTTCTTTGTACACATATTTGGTTGTATTTTGGATATGCACAAGTCATTCGCATTATTTGCTAATCTTTATAGTTGCATTGTACAGAAATTCAGATTTTTTTCTTCCACATTGATTATTACTTTGTGAAGCACAACTCACTGTTGCCACATTTTTGTTGCCTTTATTCATGACAAGAATTGTCCGTGTAAGAAATGTATGTCTTTTATGCAGCCAACTTAATAAAAAAAAGTTGAAAAATGAGTGAATTGATTTACAGTAAGTCCCGTAGTATGTACATACACACCTTAACATTTTTAAGGTAAGTTATAGTTAGGCATAAAGGTACTCCCTCTAAAAATGGGAACTGATTGAAACTGATTTCATAGATTTTTTTGGCAGGGAATAAATCAGGGTAGAGTGGGTAAAATCTGAATGTATAGTCTATTTCTGTCTTCTCCTTTCCCAGTTCCATTTCAAAGATTCACTTTTGCTTTGTAGTTGATTTTTCCATATAAGTGTCCTTTGATTCTTGAAGGCAGTGTCATTGGAACACATGGTTGGATAGATACTACATGGTATAGCAAAAAGAACATTGGATTTAGAATGAGGAGATCCTGGGTTTGAGTACAAATTCAGACATTTACTGGCTTTCAGAGCATGAAAAAGTCCCTTCACCCCTCTGAGCCCTAGTTCCCTCATCTCCCAAATGGAAATAACTTATGAAGCACCTAGTTCACAGGATTGTTGAACTCGAAAGAAATACATGTAAAGTTTTTGTAACCTTTAAGTATTATATAAACATTGGTTCCAGCTGCTAGTGTTACCAAGCCAGAAAGATTTCAGTTATGGGCCTGGAAGTAGATTGTTACCTGAGTAGGGAGAAGATCATCACTAGAAGTTTGATCACCAAGTGATAGAATTTTATTTGACAAGCCATGAAACAGAAAACCTCAAAATATCCCTAGGTCATTCACGTACAATCCCTTTTGCATTGATGGCAGGCAGCGTTCTAAGAATCAAATTTTAATTAATCTATGAATAGTAACTTAGCTGTTAGTATATTGGTTTGGTCCAGGGGTGAGGAACCTGCGGCCTTGAATCCATGCATGGCCTTCTAGATCCGTTGGTGTGGCCTCTAAGTCCAGGTTTTACAGAACAAATCTTTTTATTAAAGGGATTTGTTCTGTGAAGTTCGGATAACATCAACGGGCCGCACTTGAGGACGTAGAGGGCCACATGTGGCCTCGAGGCCACAGGATCCCCACCCCCGGTTTGGTCTTTGGATGAATGTGAAGAGTACTATTGATGGAAAAGACTTGAGGGATTAGACTTTCTAAACCCCTCACTTTATAGATGAAGGAACTGAGGCTCAGAAAGGTTTTAACTTTCCCAAAGTCACACATGTAAGTAGCAGAGCCATGAACAGAATCCGGGTCCTTTTGAATGTAAATATAGTGCTTTTTCCAAAAGCTAGAAATTGATTTTTTTTTTTAGTGTTTTATTGTTGCTCTTTTTAAATGATTGTCATTTCCCAGGGATTCCACCTAACCCTCTCTCCATAAAACCATTCTTTGTAACAAATAAATGCAGCCAAGCACAAATGTATTGGTCATGGCTGAAATGTGTGCTTCTCTTTGGTCACTTAATTCTGTTGAGAGATTACCTTTACTGCCAGCTCTCTGAAGTCATAATTAGTCTTTCAGTAATCTTCCCAGTAGCTATGCTTCCTCCATGACATTTTCCCTCCCATTTTTACTTGTTAGTTCTCCCTCCTTCCATTTTCCTTACTCTTCACTTAATTGTGTACCTTTTGAATTCCCAGCACCTAACAGTGCCTCATACCCCCACCCTCCTCTGTAGGTGCTCATTAAATTTAACACTATTGCGAGTGAGGGGTAGCTGGAACGTTGGACTGAATGATGAAGGCTTCCAAGATATTAGATTACGTATGAGATATACAGATTAAAATAATATGGGACAAAAAGGGGCATGGACTTGTGGAAATCTGTACCATTAAAGGGAGTAAGTTGAGTTGTTGATTTAGATCACTGCTCACTGTCTTAGTCGTTGATAGATTTTATGAGTTATTGTAGTTGTGGCCAAAAAACAAAAAAACACTCCCCTTACTGGTCATTACGCAGTGGGCATCCTTCTAGTGATAAGCCATTTGAAAATTTTGAGGCCTCAGAAAATACCCTTCGAGTTCATCGCCAGATCTCATGGTAGGACCTGCCAGAACTTATACGATAACTCCCATGGCTGTAGTCTTCAAGAAACCAGCATCACCTCCATGCCACAATGAGGCATCAAAATAGAACTTTAAAATTGGGGAAATTTAGACAGTGGGGAAAGGCCTGTTAGAACTTGGTTCTGCTAAATCCCTGGGGCAGAAATTGGGAGACATTAGTAAAAGTAACAGGCAGATCTGGGTTCAAACTTCCTAACCATGAGTTATATGATTTTTGGAAGCGACTGCCTCAGGCAGTACATAGTTTCCTAGCACCAGGAATTTTCAGGCAGAAGTTAGATGTCCACTTGTTGGAGGTGTAAAAGGGAATCAACGAGCATTTATTATTAAGTCCCTACTCGACACTAGGAACTGCTAGGCCCTCAGGATGCAAGTACGAAGAATGAAATAATCTCTACTTAAGGAGCTTAAGTTCTTATGGGGGAGATAAGTACATATGGATAGTATAAATATTAAGAAAATAAATGGAAAATATTCAGAGGAGTTAAATACAAAGTAGTTTGGGAGAGGACACTAGCCAGTTTAGCCATGAAAGGCTTCAGGTAGAGGTTAGTGCCTGAGCTGCATCTTGAAGGAAGAGGGAGTCTGAAGTGGAGGGAATGTATTGTAGGCATCTGATAAGGGTCAGTGCAAAGGTGCTAAACTGAGGGGAGATGGAGTGTTTTATGTGAGAAGCAAAGGACAGTATGGCTAGATCAAAGTACTGAAAGGGAAGTGATTGCTATATCCACTGGTGCTGAAAAGATGGCTTCAAGCCAGGTTGTGTAGGTAGGGCTTCTAAACCTAAGCAAAGGAGTTTACATTTTGTCCTTGGGACAAGAGGAAGTGACTGGAGTTGGTTGAGCAGGAAAGTCACATGGTCAGATCTGTGCTTAAGGAATATTTCTGTGGCAGAAGTGCATAGGAAGGACTGGAATGATGAGACTTGAGGCAGGGAGACTCATTAGGAGACTGTTGGCAATAATCTAGGTAAGAGGGACTGAACTGAAGTAGCTATGTGAATGGAGAGCTGAGATGCCATGGGAGAGATGTGACTGTAAAAATAAAATCAGATAATATGTAGATCAATATGACTTGCTAATTATATAACATAAAATGGAGATTAAATGAGATAATTGTAACAGTACCTGGCACATAGTAGGTAGGTACTTAATAAATACATGCTTGTTCCTTTCCCTGTCCATTCTTTAGAAATGGCCAGATTGACATCTGATTAGCTATGTGGGGTGAGGAGAAAGAAAATATTGAGACTTCAAAGCTTGTGCCTTTGACAGAAATAGGGAAATTTAGAAGAGGAAAGAGGATTTGAAGGAAAAGATGAGTTTGATTTTAGACATGTGAGATTTTGAGATCTCTCCAAGACATCCAGTTTTAAATATCCAATATGCAGTTGGTAATGTGGGAGTAAAAGTCAGGAGAGACTGGAGGTAGAGAAGAGATCATGATGTAGCAGATGAACAACTTCACTGGTACCTAGGAAATATTAAAAGACTTATAGGAATGTCTCTGGCTCATTGGGCAGATCTTGAGGATTTGGGAGTTCACAGGTAAGAATTGCATAGGATGAGAATAGATATAGGTTAGTATCCAAGCAGTAAGATCAGAGATACATTGAAGCAGTTCCTTGCAATTAGGTAGCACACCTTAAATGGTGTAAGAACAGTTATGTAAAGGATTTGGGAACTGAAGAATTCTTTGGAAATGCAATCAGCTTATTGATATATTCAGATTTTTTTTTAAATTTCAGTCCCAGGTTGAGTTTACTAAGGGTTGGCCAACCAGTGGCAGTTATTGTACAAGTGTGTGTTGATGAGCGGGTATGCATGTTTGTTTAGTGTCTTGTTTCCGGGAGGGTGATAGAAGTGCCCTAGAAAATGTTCTGCTTATTTTTCGAAGTGGCGCATAAGGAAGGTCTAAAATACTTAGATCTGGCAGCTTCATCTTGGTCTGCTGCTTTTTCCAGCAATCTGTAAAATTTGTTTTTCAGTAATAAGAACTATGGACTTGCTGCCCAAGGCCCTTCCCTGTCATATTGGGCGGTGGGGGGTGGGGTGGATAAAGGGTCACTTTAACACCTTACTGGTGTTAAAAATCTGACTGGTTTACTTGTCAACTTGAACCCAAAAGACAATCTGTCATCTTCCTCATAGATATTTTACCTTCCATTATTTCCACAACTCCCTCATCTGTCCCAGTTTTAGAAATATCATTCATTACCCAGATTTACCTTTTCTTTGACAACAGAAGAAAGGCAAGGTGTTGTCTTATCTGACCGATTGTTCTAATTACAGGAGAGATTGAAGGTGGGAGCTGGAAGTGACCTTTGGTGTTTCCTCATGTCATTCTTTTAATATTACCTTGTAAAAAAAAAAAGATGATGTCAGAGAATCCTGCATAGTATGAATTGAGAATGAGTCTAATGAGCACAACTAGAATAATATATACAAGAACAACTTTGTAAAAAAAAAAAACAACTTGAAGAAATGATTGACCATGTCTCCAGAGGACCTATGATGAAGTATGTTCTCCACCTCCTGATAGAGGGTTATGGACAACAGGTACAAAAGGAGACAACTTTTTTTTTTGCCTGTGTCAGCTGTGCAGATTTATTTTGATTGGCATGCTTATCTGTTACAAGTTTTTGTTTCCTTCATGGGGTCGGAAGAGAGGAGTGTTAGCAGTAGTTATACCAAAAAGAAAGGGAGGAGGGGCTGAAATATTAATTAAAATCATTAGTTGAGAATAGAAGGAAGCACAGATAGGACAGTTTTGAAAGTAATGTGTAGAATATGTGTGTGTGTGTGTGTGCGCTTATGTATACACATACACATACTTAAAAGCAATCAAATGGAGTTCATGATTTCATTTATAATCTTTTCGTGTGTTCTGCCATTTGTGTGTGGAAATGCTCTATTGGAGGTATTTACTTTCAGAATAATAAAAAATTTTAAAACGAATTTGCTAATTCACTGAAAAGTGAAATAAACTTTCTGTTGCTTCAGAGTACTTACTC